CTGCATTTTTTTACCTTAGAGTGCCAAAATGTCCCATTTTTAGAACTAAAATAAAAATCTTTGAAAAATCTAAACCAAACACTTATTAAGGACAGCTGGACTCTGTGAACAGTTTCACCAGCAATTAAACAGAAAAACAGGTTAACAGAAAATTGCGTAGCTGCAACAACAGTATCAGTAGAAGTGACAAGAAACAGGCCCTACCCTAACCCCTTAAATGGGGGGTTAAATAAATAAATCCAAACCTTGGCAAAGATAACCCGCTCTCCTTCTCCTGTTATACTGCTCTCCGCAATGCAGGGCTCCAAGATAAACTAGCTGAACTAAGTATTTTGTGACCTTTCTACCTAGGTTCAGCTGGAAGTTCAGAGAAAATGGAGGCAGTGGCATTTGAGCAAACACTTGCGTCAGCATGTCAGCACCTCAGCAAGTAACGGAGGAAGTGGCTTAACTCAAGAGATGCAGATAGTGAGGTCGAGCCCACCAGAGCACAGGAGAGCAACCCTCCAAAGATCAAGCGTGCTTTAACACTGTACACCTGGAGGATACCTCCATGCTCAGATACACATGGTTAAGTCCCATGGACCGTGCTAGGAGTCTTGTGTATGTATCCAAAAGTGGGACTTTGCTGTAGATCAATGGTTCTTGAAGCACATCTGTTCATCTATATCCTGTGTAGTACCAGAGTTATTTTCCAAGGTAAAATGGGCCAAAACATTATGCTCTTCCTTGGGTTTCTGGCCACAGTAATTTGTGTTTCTTTCCACGCCAATATTTTTCAGCTGCTATTTCTACCTTAAATGTGACCTTTCATTTTCCATGCGGCTCTCACAACATGTTCCAGGCTAAGCCAGGCTGGTGAGTTTTAGATGTTCTCTATTTCTTCTGCTGTTGAAGCTGGGAGGACATACAATTTTGTACGAGGAAGATTCCATGCCATCCTTTAACACAGCTCATGGATTCGAAACGAAAAATTAATTAATCCCTAAAATTTACCAAGATTCAAAGTCTTTCTGTTGTGGTGATGGATGATGGACACTGAGAACATAAAGCATGGCTGAGCTAATGCTTCCTATCCAGCTGCACATCCATTGCTCAGGTATGCTCCAGTGATGGTGGCAGGTTCAGAGACTTTTCTTCCTTTGCCTCTTGTAACAGTGGAGATCTCAGAAATAACAGTGGTCCAATTTGGATTTTTGTATGTTTTTTGAAATGGTAAAAAAAGCTATTATAGCATATTCCAAGGGTGACCAAGAAAACTTCAGTAAGATGGCTCTTTCCTATTGTGTCTGTACCTCTGAGACTTGTCCTGCTAGTCTTTGAAAGGAAGCAATGAAAGCCCCTGGGACATTTAAAACTCAATTGAACCGGACAGTACAAGGTATCGTATGAAAAACAACACCATAGTGGCTGGCAAAAATCTCTTTACAGTCTATGATCACAGCGTGCTGAAATCTGCAAGACTGTGCACTGTAATATGATGTCACAAGGAATCCAAGCTTCTATTATAGCTTTATGTTCTTAAGGATAAAATTGTTAAGCAAATTTCCCTGGTTTGAGTTGGAAAGGGATAAAAGAATTCATCCGACAAATGCAATCAAGCCTCCTACTTGATTTTGTATCTGCACTTCCCCGGTTGGGGCAATTCTTGCCTGGTTTTCTTCAAGGGCAAAGATGACTGAACAGAAAGCAAGTGGCATTTATCACACTTCTCCCTCCTCCCGGTCACCTACAAGACATGGGCAAAACGCGTGTGGTATGTCAAATGCTGACCAAGTGGCATTTCCCGACTGCTCTGCCAAAACTGCTCTAATGAGCTTTTATTCACACCAAACCCTCATGGTAGACTTCTGCCATTTTACCAGAAGGCAAGTGCACAGAGAAATTCAAAGGATGCTTTCAAAGTTAAATTACCTGTGCAGAAGCAGGTTTTTGAGTGCTATCAGCACTGTTTCAAACCCCAAGATTCAGGAAAAATGTCTTCTTTTCTCTGCCGCTGCCAACAGACCGCACAGCCTCCATCCCCCTGGTGAAGCAGGCACTACAGGCAGCCAGGCGAGGAAGGGCACCTCAGCAGGAGGTTCGCTTTGGCCTTCCCTGCCCCAGTCAGCTTTGCTTGCCGATGCAGGTCACCCAGTAGCGAGAGAGTTGAACCTCTTTATAACCAGGAAAAAAAATCAAATACAAAGCAGTGAACTGGCAAGGGTTTCCAGGAATTAATTTTAAACTTACGTTTTTTGAAATGGCAAGGTTTTGAGTCGACTTTGTCCTTTAAAACTCAGCCAAAGCAAGTGAAAGGAAGAGCAGAAGCAGGATCAGTCCCGTGACCAAGGGGGAAGTGAAAGCCCCTCCATGCACGTTTGTGAGAAAGATCTCACTTCTCGCTGACTTACCCAAGCCAAGCAGAGCCTCCAACCTTCTCGGGGGTTCACTCTGTCCCAGCACATTTAGCAAGTCAGATACTTCCAAAAAGATACAACCATTAGCATAATTTTCTCTCTGGCCTACAAATAAGACCAAGAAGAGTGAAACAACTTATATGTTCCCTGTCTGAGAATTAAACCTTTATTAGTCAAGCCAAAGCAGATGTTTGTTTTAAATGCAAGTGCCTTCTTTCAGCATAAATGAAGAAATATAGATTCAGAGATACAATAACGTGTAATTAATTAGATCTGATGCAATTATTGGCTCTCCCACAAGCCAGTGTAAGAGCTCAGCCCTGCAGTGCATAGTTAGGACCAGCACTGACGGCACAAGGTCGGGTGGAGCCCAGGCTGAGCATGATACCTATTTGTACAAGAGTCCTGGTGAAACAGGGGCAAACCACACGCCCCAAAATAAAACACTGCTAGGTTTTGCATTTTAAAAAAAAGTTCTAGCATAAGTTATTGTTTTATATGGCCATTTTGGTTTTATTTGACTTGCCTGAAATAACCAAAAAAAGGAAGTATTCCCAGATTCTGTATTACATGTTTGCTTCAGGCATCGAGCACTGGCCTGGTTTGTATGAAGAGCTGAGGCTCCATAAAAACCCTTGGATATCAGCCAGCATTCGGAGTCCTTGGCTCTTTGGGAACAGCAAGTCCACTCAGGCAGGTGCCAGAAGCAGGTGGCCCCAGGCTTTACGGTGCCGTGACCTGGATGTAGAAAGCTGCTGCCAAACACCACCATAGTGGGATGGGTTCTCACCTCACCCATCTTCCACACAGGCGATGAAAAAGCACCCTTCCCTGCTGGGGATCTCTCTTGATTCACTGTACTGAAGAATACTGAAGAAAAGAGCTACTTAGCTCAGGGAACGCCGACATGTTTATAAGCAGATGAAGAGGAACAGGGAAGTAAATCTCAGTGAGCAATGCAAAAAGTGGGAGATGAACGGGTGCAAGGCACCCAGACTCCAGCGTCAGTGGCCTGAAACGACTGACACAGGCTGAACACAAACTCCATATTCAGAGTTCACCGACTTCCCTTTCCTCGGTATTCAATGTAAAGCAGGCGTTTGTTATCAGTAAATAGGACTTGAGTACCATCTTTCAGACAAGTAGTTATCATTGTTCTGGGACACTGTGACAGCCTCTGGCTATTCACTCCAGGTCCCCTGAGAAGCCAGTTGCAGCTCTGCAAGCCAGTGGTGCAGGCAGCAGCTCCAGCAGCCTGAACATCAGCGGTCCAAGACCTAAGACTGAATTTAAGAGGAAGTGATTAATGGATTTTCTCTGCCAAGACAGCAACGAGGAAGTTCCCACCAAAACTGTCAGAATCAAGCAGCAGTATTGTTGTGCAGTGAATAATTACATTGTGCAACGCCTCGCTGGGCATCGGGGGAGCTGAAATTAACTGTTTCAGCAGGGGGTGGTGCCAATTCAGAGGGGTTGGATCCATGTGAAGGTGAGAGGCTCCAGGAATCCAGCCAACACTCCTTCCAGGACACACCCCGGGGCAGACCTTCCTTTCACCCAGAAACAAGGCCCTTACATGTGCAAGATGACATGGAAGGTTTAGAAGGGCCATTACCTGCTTACCATAGGTCCCAGCAGAGGGAAAGAGAAGGCAGGTGAGGACAGCCATCTTCCTGTAATCACCTTCCCCTGACTCACAAAAGCAAGCAAAGCTCAACCCCCAAACCAGGTGTCCCTCTAAGCACAGCTGATGAAGGTACTGTAGACTTAAAATCAAAATACCAGTAACAGTCCAGGATAGTTAGCATGCCCTGTACCATTGTTTCCTTATTCTTATCTACAAGCAATGGTTTGTGCACAAGTTTCCAATTAAAGGTAGTAACTGAGCAAGTCTAAAACAGCTCATTAACAAGAGGTGATGTTCATTATCCTGCTTTTAAGAGATATTAAACCATCTGAGACAGGCCAATGGCCTCTCCCATCAGAAAGAGAACACCAGGTGCTAATTAACTTACTTGAGATTACATAAACTAATTCAGTGGTGAAGCTGGAAATCTGTTTTCCTGGCATTTAACTAAACCTGTTAGTACAGCGAGCTTGGGGAAAAACTGTATAAATACATTTGTGCTCAGATACCACTTCTGCAGGCCAAATAAGCAAAGCTGGGGAAAAGAGCAAGGATGCTTCAAACACAGGGCGCAGTGTGGGAAAAGGGAGGTGAAGGACACAGGAAAGAGCTCTTTAGCTGGTAAACAGAGCACATGCAACAGCAGGAAATCATTAAGAGCCTACAAGGTTATCTCTAATTCCCATGAAGCAGCACAGCTGACTGCCCCTCTTGTTTTGCAAGACAAGAAAGCGGTGCTGGCTGCTTGGGTTGGTGTGGACACGTTGGAGGGGAAAGGAGAGGGGTGTGTGCAGCAGCTACGCGACCTCGGCTTCCTTGGTCAGAGCTTGGCAAAGCACTAAGCAGTTGTTTCTTCATCAGTCTAGCTGGGTAAACACACAGAATTGGCACCTGGGAGATTACATAAACCCCACTCATCCCCTTAAATCTACACCCCAATATCTAAATATGAAGAGAGGATTACAGTTATCTTACTTCAAAGAAATTTATTTAACAAACTTCAGGAATATTGCTTGACACTTCCACAGGCTTCAGAAAATGAACAATTACCCATTGTTGCACAGGTTGCTGTATATAAGGATGTCTCCGAGACAATCAACCTTGTTTTGCAGTATTTAGCCATCAAAACTCATCTTCTCCCAGCATTAATAAGTCAAGCAGTACTATACAAAGCCAGTTGGAAAAAAGTTAACTGTATTTTCCCTAGAGGATTCCATACCCCCAACAAAAGGCCTCTTCTTCAGCTAGCAGCGGGCATCCTAAAAGCATTCACAATTGCACCAAGTTGTGGGTGAACTCAATGGCCAATTGTCCACTGCCTCCCTCTAACTTGAGTGGGAGGCACCAGCCTGGGACTCAGTCTGGCTACGGCTGCCTCACCCCGGGGAAAGGGCTGGGGGCACAGCCTCCCTCTAGCACGAAGGGGAGTACATGCGGAATTGATTTCCAGTTTTGGATGTCACCAAGGCAGCACTCTGAAGTCACATCCATGTTTCTAGACAAGCCATGGACATCCTTGACGTCATGTAGGGGAACTGTCCCACCTGGCATGGGCACCCCTAGGCACCGCAACTGACTTATTGGTTAGTTAAGGCACTCTACCAGCTGGTAACACCAAAGTGCAACAGTTTGGGACCAGACCTTGCAGAATCTCTCTGGGGTAAGTGGCTCTGCTAAAGCCAACAGCACTGTTCACACAAGCATCTGCAAGTTCAGCCCACTAGCATGTCTTGGACAGTACAATTCAGCAAATCAGAAGTATCTTCACAAAGAGAAACACAATCACAGTGCAGTTTTCCAGAGGCAGGTTAAGGGTACAAGTCCTTGTCCTTGAGAGTGGGTCAAGAAACCCTGACAGAGCCCCAAACATTGCAAGAGCTTCAGGAGTTGGCTGGCTAGCACAGCTTTGTGCATTATCTCACTAGAAAGATGGGCAGATTCACGTGCAAAAGCACAACTGGCACTGTCCAGAGCAAGCCTGGTCTGAAACTGCATCGCAAAACAGGTTTTTAAGACAACAGGAGTGTTGTCTTAAAAAGTTGCAGAAACCTGAGAAGGAATGGAGACTGTCCTCATGAAGGCAAGCGAGTCCACAGGAGCACATTCAGCAAGTGCGGATGTATGCTCAGGAAGGACTTAAGATTCTTAGCTTTCAAAGACAAAGTTGTTTACTCATGGCTCACCTACACAGCCTCCTCAGCCCTTGTGCTATGATGCTTTTGTTTCAGGTGAAAAATTGTGTCAGACTTGCTGCACAGGAAATGAAAACCTTGCTCAACAGCTATCAGACAAGCTACGGAGATGAAAGATGTAGAAACATTTGTCCTAACACAAAAATGCAAGCAATCTTACCAGAGGATACAAAACAAACATTAAACCAGAGACCCTGAAATTATCTGAAGACATTTTTATCTGTGGTCAGTGGAGTGCTGTATGTTGGGCAGGGAGGACATGTGGGGCAACCCAACCTCTGAGGTCTTTTCTTATTTTACATCAGACACCACGGGGAACTTCAAAGCTGCAGCAATTGTAGACATCCTGACTCAGGCATTGGCAGGAGGAAGACCAGACCAAATATAATTTTGGCCAAGTCTCTTTGGACTTCCGTCAGCTGTGACAGATTAGAGCTGCCCCCATCAGCCTCTCCTTAGGCAGTCTTGGGCTTATTCTCCTCCCAGACCCACTGTTAATCAGGGGAAGAAAAGGACTTGGTCTGGTCAGGAGGACCTAGAGCTTTCTCCTCCCAGAAGAAATGCTACAGGAGACTCTCAGCTACAGGATAAGCAGATTTCCCATTGCCCCAGCAGGAAACTCTGACAACCAGAAACACGCCAGAAGGTGCAGTGGTCTCAGCATGGTCTGCCCAGCCACAGTGCCCACCTAAACCCCCTGCAGAGCTTGTCCCTCTTTGCCCCAAATGGACAAAAAAGAAACCAGGAAGAGAAATGCCCCGTTACAGTGAACTTTGCAAGGGCTGTGAGGGAGTCAGTTTGGGCGACTTATTGGCACGTGTCCTACAGACAGCTACATCTCCCTGCGCCTCCATCGGTGGTGTCCCCAAAAAACTCAGAGGAGAGGACAGATACAGGGACTGTGCCAGCAGGAAACAAAACTGGTGACCAGAGCAAGATCTGTGTGCCTTCTCTTTTGAAAGAGAAATGGAGGAGTGAGATCCAGTGAAGATTTTCAATACTCCATGCCAGTGAGCATGGCCAGGACAAATCATCTGTCCCTGAGACAGAGCAAAGCCATGAGACACGCCAAAGTTGTGTCACGCTCTTCACAGGCTCCAGAGTACAGGGGAAAGCCCAGCAACACCAAACCCACAGCAGTGCAGGCTTTGTGTAAGCCTCAAAACTGAGCTCACATGTCTGCCACCCCTCCACACGTTTAACGGGACACCCTCTTCTTTAAACCACTCCAGAAAAATGTATTTCAGCGGCAGCCAGTCTCAGTCTCTGCTTTGCTCGTGTTGCGCAGCCCTCCACGCTGACCAGTGGGTGGGTATGTCTTCTACAGGCATCACGACTGACTCATGCTCCCCCTCCTTGCACACAATTTAAGACACGGTGTCCTTTTCAAGCTTCATTAGACTCCCTTTTTTCCAGTCTAATTGGCAAAGCTGATTACACAAAGGTGGAGGTACACCCTTTGTGCCTAGATTTTGCCTACCCTGTTCCTGGGGTGTGTGAGGCTGTTGATGTGAAGTCCACTGATCCCATTAAGGAAGAAGAGAAAGGCAGCGATGAACTCACACCAGTACGTCAGCGTGAAGCCTGTGAAGGTGAGGTGATCCTTCACAAGGATGGAGAAGCTCAGAACCCCAGTGGCCGACAGCAAAAACGAGCCGAGGATGAGAACCGAGCCCATCGACCACTTCCGCCTTGCGTTGGCATCCTCGCAGACTTGGGACACCATCAGGAGCTCCAGGCCAAATATGGCAACCACAACGGCAAAGGACACCATGCTTCTTATGGGAATCACCCCCACGCTCAGCCCCTCCACCTTGGCCAGGCTGAGGTCAGTGACGCACTTCAGGACACTGCCATTGCTAACGGTGCAGAAGTGCCACAGTCCGAAGAGCTGCCCCCTCGCGAAGAGCCAGCGGCCATCGCAGACGGAGATGGATGACAAGACCACCGCTATCGCCACGCACAAGATGATCAGGCTCCTGATGAGCGTCTCAAAGAAGGATTTCTGCGGTCTCCGGTGTGCCAGCAGCCTCTGCGCCTTAAAGGATAGTGGGGGGAAGAAAAACACCTGACTTAACAACACTACTTTAGGCTGAAATGAAACCAGAGGGACAAAGCTGTGGGACTTCAGCATTTGAAATGATTTGCTTGTGCACATCAAACCCCTTCTTGCAGGGGAAGGCAATGCAGTTACAGGCTGTACCCAGGAGAAAGGAAAGGTGGGTGAAGCTCTCCCCGTTCTCCAGCTGCACCAACAATGCTCCCACGTAGAGGCCCGACTTCGGGATCACAAAAGGCTCTGGGCTGAGCAGGATCCCTGCCCCGTGGCCCCCGCAGCACAGCCTCCTGCTCTGGCAGGGCTGGAGGAAACCGCTG